ACGCCCGCATTCCAGACGGTCGATAACTCTACCACGTAAAAAATCATCCAAATGCGTCCTTTGTGTCATAACTATTCGGTTATTGCACTGAAATGCTTATAAAGCACCTGCGAACAATTTTACTTCTTTGCCTGTATTCCTTATATATCATTCTCTTACACTCTCGTCATTGTGACGTACCATCGGTGTCATCTGTTACTTCCTGAATTTTGCATATGATTCTTGAAGATGTGTGTAGTGATTTTACAGGTGATATATTTATTTTAGAGTTCGATTTCCGCGTGACTCCGAATTATCCATAATTTATGGACATGATTGTATATACATATATTAAAGAAAAAGTGTGTGTAACGAAAATCAGATCATGTTCTTTGCATTTAAACCATAAAACTCAATTCAACAGTAGTGTCGCAAAATCATTTTAAAATCAGCACATCTTTAGAATTTCCGATACAGTCTCGCACGCTGGAGGTAAATTTTTTTTTTTTTTTTTTTTTTTTCGTACTGTGTTGCCATTGCTCGCTTTGAAATCGTTGAGTTTGTTAATCAAAAATTCCTTAAAGTGTCACTAAAATATGAAATCAATAATAAAACAGATTCCGAATTCGAGCTTCCAGATGCCCATATTCGGTGGAAGATTACGTTTTTCAAAATTTGATGGCTGTAGGTACCTTTGCTTTATCACAATGCGAGAAACATACATACATTTATGCAGATTCTCTATTATTTAATTGCGATAATATTTGGTGCCAAGAATTTGAAAAGTGATTCGCCATTTATAGTGAATCGACGCAAAAGGCCAAAATGAAATTAATAGCCCATTTGGGCTTTAAAAAAAAAATGATATATTGATTTGTAAATTGTGCATTATAAATACGACTCGTATAATGTTTAGTTTTTTTCTCATGTTACATACATATATATATATATATATATATACATAAACTTAAGTATCATATTTAAACTCCTTGTGCAATGGTTATTGAAATGAACAACTGGAAAAAAAATCTTTGTTTAGAAACTCTGAAAATGTTTCTGAACTGTGCAAAAGAAAAAGAATAGACTTCTTAACATTTATTCTGTGGTTATAAAATGTTATCTCGAAGTGATTAATTCAACGAATAAAATATGTTGTCGTATGTATATAATTCTAGACGGGAGAGTAATTTAACAGGTGGAAAAAAGCTGCGGTGTAAATAAAAATTTTGTAAAAACCACGGCAGCAACTTTCACTCAGACATCTTTCCGATCCAGAATACATCTGTAATTTGCGATGCCCTCAAGTAGCACTTTACCTCTAATGAAGATTTTAAAACTGCGAAATATTTTAATAAAATACTATGCACAGATTAATTATATGTCAGGCAAGTCAAAAATATATTACTTATTATAGAAAATAAAGTGAAATTTTTATCACAGGTTTTCATCCGAATTTATTTAATGTCAGAATAGTGTAAAAATACATATCTTACAGTATTAAAAGGAAATATTTCCTGTATTTTTTATTAATAAAAATTTATGTTTATATGAAAATGAAAATGAAAAGTGTGTATTTAAAAATCTGTAAGATTTTCATCCTTAATTTTGAAATTTGCTATTGCATTTTTTATAACTATGTTTTCTTAATCTTAAAATCGGACGGAGTAATTACACTATCTAAGACTGTCGATTACAGCGCGTTTATAAAGTTCTGAGAAGGCTGAATTGAATTCATTATTTAGTTTTATGCAGATGACTTTTTTTTATATATACCAGCTCAGTGAAGCTGCCAAATGAAAATTGATGGCAAATAATTACAAACATATTTCAGTTTGTTTCCATTAAAAATACCGTCCGCCTGCGGAAGGAAAGCCTGATAGCACATTGATTTTATGCAGGCAATGCTCGCTTTCAGTGCTGAGTAGAATATTTTCTTTGCAGCATAAATTGTCATCAGCAGTTTATTTTAAATAAAAGCACATGGGCTTTTACTAATTTTCCTCATGTATGATGTGAATACAAGCCTCATGTATGATGTGAATACAAACCACGGCAGCAACTTTCACTCAGACATCTTTCCGATCCAGAATACATCTGTAATTTGCGATGCCCTCAAGTAGCACTTTACCTCTAATGAAGATTTTAAAACTGCGAAATATTTTAATAAAATACTATGCACAGATTAATTATATGTCAGGCAAGTCAAAAATATATTACTTATTATAGAAAATAAAGTGAAATTTTTATCACAGGTTTTCATCCGAATTTATTTAATGTCAGAATAGTGTAAAATACATATCTTACAGTATTAAAAGGAAATATTTCCTGTATTTTTTATTAATATAAAATTTATGTTTTATATGAAAATGAAAATGAAAAGTGTGTATTTAAAAATCTGTAAGATTTTCATCCTTAATTTTGAAATTTGCTATTGCATTTTTTATAAACTATGTTTTCTTAATCTTAAAATCGGACGGAGTAATTACACTATCTAAAGACTGTCGATTACAGCGCGTTTATAAAGTTCTGAGAAGGCTGAATTGAATTCATTATTTAGTTTTATGCAGATGACTTTTTTTATATATACCAGCTCAGTGAAGCTGCCAAATGAAAATTGATGGCAAATAATTACAAACATATTTCAGTTTGTTTCCATTAAAATACCGTCCGCCTGCGGAAGGAAAGCCTGATAGCACATTGATTTTATGCAGGCAATGCTCGCTTTCAGTGCTGAGTAGAATATTTTCTTTGCAGCATAAATTGTCATCAAGCAGTTTATTTTAAATAAAAGCACATGGGCTTTTATAATTTTTTCCTCATGTATGATGTGAATACAAGCCTCATGTATGATGTGAATACAAACCACGGCAGCAACTTTCACTCAGACATCTTTCCGATCCAGAATACATCTGTAATTTGCGATGCCCTCAAGTAGCACTTTACCTCTAATGAAGATTTTAAAACTGCGAAATATTTTAATAAAATACTATGCACAGATTAATTATATGTCAGGCAAGTCAAAAAAATATATTACTTATTATAGAAAATAAAGTGAAATTTTTTATCACAGGTTTTCATCCGAATTTATTTAATGTCAGAATAGTGTAAAAATACATATCTTACAGTATTAAAAGGAAATATTTCCTGTATTTTTTATTAATATAAAATTTATGTTTTATATGAAAATGAAAATGAAAAGTGTGTATTTAAAAATCTGTAAGATTTTCATCCTTAATTTTGAAATTTGCTATTGCATTTTTTATAAACTATGTTTTCTTAATCTTAAAATCGGACGGAGTAATTACACTATCTAAAGACTGTCGATTACAGCGCGTTTATAAAGTTCTGAGAAGGCTGAATTGAATTCATTATTTAGTTTTATGCAGATGACTTTTTTTATATATACCAGCTCAGTGAAGCTGCCAAATGAAAATTGATGGCAAATAATTACAAACATATTTCAGTTTGTTTCCATTAAAATACCGTCCGCCTGCGGAAGGAAAGCCTGATAGCACATTGATTTTATGCAGGCAATGCTCGCTTTCAGTGCTGAGTAGAATATTTTCTTTGCAGCATAAATTGTCATCAAGCAGTTTATTTTAAATAAAAGCACATGGGCTTTTATAATTTTCCTCATGTATGATGTGAATACAAGCCTCATGTATGATGTGAATACAAACCACGGCAGCAACTTTCACTCAGACATCTTTCCGATCCAGAATACATCTGTAATTTGCGATGCCCTCAAGTAGCACTTTACCTCTAATGAAGATTTTAAAACTGCGAAATATTTTAATAAAATACTATGCACAGATTAATTATATGTCAGGCAAGTCAAAAATATATTACTTATTATAGAAAATAAAGTGAAATTTTTATCACAGGTTTTCATCCGAATTTATTTAATGTCAGAATAGTGTAAAAATACATATCTTACAGTATTAAAAGGAAATATTTCCTGTATTTTTTATTAATATAAAATTTATGTTTTATATGAAAATGAAAATGAAAAGTGTGTATTTAAAAATCTGTAAGATTTTCATCCTTAATTTTGAAATTTGCTATTTGCATTTTTTTATAAACTATGTTTTCTTAATCTTAAAATCGGACGGAGTAATTACACTATCTAAAGACTGTCGATTACAGCGCGTTTATAAAGTTCTGAGAAGGCTGAATTGAATTCATTATTTAGTTTTATGCAGATGACTTTTTTTATATATACCAGCTCAGTGAAGCTGCCAAATGAAAATTGATGGCAAATAATTACAAACATATTTCAGTTTGTTTCCATTAAAAATACCGTCCGCCTGCGGAAGGAAAGCCTGATAGCACATTGATTTTATGCAGGCAATGCTCGCTTTCAGTGCTGAGTAGAATTTTCTTTGCAGCATAAATTGTCATCAAGCAGTTTTATTTTAAATAAAAGCACATGGGCTTTTATAATTTTTCCTCATGTATGATGTGAATACAAGCCTCATGTATGATGTGAATACAAACCACGGCAGCAACTTTCACTCAGACATCTTTCCGATCCAGAATACATCTGTAATTTGCGATGCCCTCAAGTAGCACTTTACCTCTAATGAAGATTTTAAAACTGCGAAATATTTTAATAAAATACTATGCACAGATTAATTATATGTCAGGCAAGTCAAAAATATATTACTTATTATAGAAAATAAAGTGAAATTTTTATCACAGGTTTTCATCCGAATTTATTTAATGTCAGAATAGTGTAAAAATACATATCTTACAGTATTAAAAGGAAATATTTCCTGTATTTTTTATTAATATAAAATTTATGTTTTATATGAAAATGAAAATGAAAAGTGTGTATTTAAAAATCTGTAAGATTTTCATCCTTAATTTTGAAATTTGCTATTGCAATTTTTTATAAACTATGTTTTCTTAATCTTAAAATCGGACGGAGTAATTACACTATCTAAAGACTGTCGATTACAGCGCGTTTTATAAAGTTCTGAGAAGGCTGAATTGAATTCATTATTTAGTTTTAATGCAGATGTCTTTTTTTATATATACCAGCTCAGTGAAGCTGCCAAATGAAAATTGATGGCAAATAATTACAAACATATTTCAGTTTGTTTCCATTAAAATACCGTCCGCCTGCGGAAGGAAAGCCTGATAGCACATTGATTTTATGCAGGCAATGCTCGCTTTCAGTGCTGAGTAGAATATTTTCTTTGCAGCATAAATTGTCATCAAGCAGTTTATTTTAAATAAAAGCACATGGGCTTTTATAATTTTCCTCATGTATGATGTGAATACAAGTCAGTTACCTTTAGAAAGTTGTCCATTAAGGCATACCCCCTTCATCAAAAAGCTCTCATTGGTTTTTCTATAATTGGTTAAGAGGTAGCTTCAAAGGAAAATTCAGTACTAAACTGCTATTATTTGCCCTTTACTGGGCAGATTCGGCATTTGCGTATATTTTTCTTTTCTATAAAATGAAATCTCTCCTTAAAAGGCACCTGTTGATAAAATTTCAGAAATTTAGAAAATCCTAAGTAACCTTCCAAAATAGAAGAAAGTTCAAAGAGTTGATTTCTGAAACACAATCTAGAAATTGGTTGAAGGAGCCAAGCGATATATAACATCAGAAAGTTATGTATGTAGAAGGCTAAACAGTAATAAAGTTTTTTCCCTTGAAGTTCTGATATTTTATGAATTCCTGCTTGAAATTTGTCGATGAATTGAGTATTTCTGAAAATATCCTGTAATACTAGAATTGCAGCATTTCTTTATGTTTGTTTGTACTATATAATTTCCCTGTAATTTTCTCCGATTTTTAAACTGTAATTTCTTTGTGTTGCTTAATTACCATCAGATAAAGCTTGCGTATGTGTCTTTCATTCTGAACATCTCCGTCCTCCCATTCTCTAAAACTTTGTTTATAATTTCTCATATATTTTCAAAATTTTCTGTTATTGGCAAAAATTTCAGAAGTCTCCAAAGTCACCTCCACCGAAATCCATATCTCCACCATCTAACATTCCCCCACCATCAAACATTCCCCCTCCACTATCTTCTATAGGTACGAAATCTCCAGCAATATAATCATTTCTTTCATCTTCCAAAGGCATCATGTCTCCGGCGATCACTTCACCTCCTCCTGGAATGCCTTGTTCAATATCCACATTATTAGTCAAATCCACATTATTGTTTACTACGGAAGTATCATTGTCGTAATAATTATTGATATGAACATTCGTATCATGTGCAACAGGTCCGTGACCCCATCCTCCGCCCCAGCCCATTCCATAGTGATGAGCACCCCATGTAGTGCCTAGAGCACCTCCTAGTAACATACCCATTGCAAAATCTCCTCCTCCGGGAGCGTAGCCTCCTCGATCTTGTACCACTACCGTGGTTCCTCCTCCACCTGCATTCGAGTACGGTTGGGGGTGGACACTATTATAACCTGCCTGCACTGGTGGACGATAACTCATAGGAGCTGGATATTGGCCGGGCACTGTAAAGAGAAAATAAATTTTGGCATTTTGCAAAACAGTTATTTGCAAAACTCATATCGATATATTAGTTATTTAAAACACTTAATTTATAGCTTTACTGCTTTTTCTACTTTGATATTTTAATAAAATTAATCCCGTGTTTAACCTTTATTCTTTTATGTTATTAAACTGAATCATACGGACTAACAGAATTCAATGTATGAAACAACTAACATCGTTTCATGTATTGAATGCTGAGAAATAAAAATTGACCGTTAATTGTTTTTACACGGTTTTAAACTTCCTCTCTTTGTTTAAGAAAAATCTTGAAATTAATTTGTATTCCCTTCTACCGACCCAGTTTCCTGAAATTTTTCATACACATATTTATTTGATATGACAAAACAGGGGAATAACCACTTGGACCTTAGGAATTTTGTCAGAATTCCATATAAATATTTTTTTTATTTACTATTAAGGGTTTTTTTTTTCAAGTCATTTAAGAATTAAAATAATTAACGCAGAATTTCGTTCTAACCGAGGGATCCGTGAATAACGCGTTCGCCTTTTATGCTGAATATACGCGGGAAACGTTCTTATCGCTTCGGCAGAAACTGGAATAACTAGATAATGGATTTTCTGCGATGAATTTCGCAGGAAAAAAAAGAGAATGTTTTCGAGAATGTCTAATGTAAATTTCTGAATTTTGGCGGTTCCTCAAGAATTACTATTACATTTTTCTGGCATCGTATTGTTACTAACAACAATGGATTTTTAAATCATAAAATTTAATCCTTCATTATTATCATTTCCATGATCTACAGTAACGATGAGGATTGTAATATAAATCTAATAAAAATGTGAATGAGTTAAACGTAATCTTAATAAGCCAAATTAAAAAGAATCATTCTTCTACGTTCGGAGATAGTTTTTTTATTTCTTTTCCATATTTTGTTGCTGAAAATTACGAAATAAAACGTGTAAAATATCTTTTAAAATTACGTATTTCGAAACAAATGTATAAAAATGTTTAAAATAAAATTGTCCATTGCCAACATATTCTCGATGATATGTAACTAAAAATAAAATTATGGGGCTGTCATATAGGAATCTTTATAAGGATATTAACAGAATTTTAAGAAAAAAATAGCAACAGTTGTAAGGATCCTAAGTTTTACTAACGTTTATTTTATTTTAAAACTGTACTATCACTTCTTATTTTCTACTTCCGGCCAGAATTAAACGCTTTAACTTATTTATGCAAATTGTCTTGCTAACGCCAGGTACTTAAGTTGTGGCTTTTTGCCAAGCAAGAGAGAGGAAGGAGTTATTGGAAGCAAGCCGCTTGCCACAGTAGTTTTACGAGTTTTCACTCTGTTGCTGGTTGCCTTCAAGGCCAGAGGTTTAGCCCTCTTGATAATTGCAGACGTATCGTAGTTTTAGCAGCTCGGGTACATACGTACCTTTCTTTAAATAAAGGCCAATCTTAGTGCTAGGCACTTGTATACTAATTCAAAGTTAGTTTTAGTTAGAGTTTTAGTTAGTAGTTTTTATATTCTTACGTTCAGACAAGTGGTTGGTCTCTGTATTCCAAAGTTTCGGAAATTCCTGTAAAGTATAGAAAATAAAGGGTTTCGTTTACTCTTCCTGCTTGTATTGTCTACTTCACACCTTCTTGAACATAGCTTGAGTAAGCTCCCTGTTCCTATTCAGGACCATTCATGTTTCCAAAGCAAGTCAAAAGAAACACTAGTTCTGATACAGTAATCAGGATGATTCAAAAATATCTAGCAAAACTTAAAACAAATAGGAATACAAAAATAAGCAGATTTTGTAATGGAAATATGTGCGCGAAATGGCACATTCAGGTAATACAGGGCTCTGTTCAGATTTTAATAAAATCGTTCTGCTTTCGTATATCGTCATTTTCCGGGCAGATTTTGATTGGTATGCATCGCTATACGAAAGCAGAGCTCTCCGACATGCATTTTGCCTATGCGGTGCGTCTGAAACGGAACAGTTACTCAAATGAGGTATAAAAAAACAATTTCCGAATACCACCTTTTGAGCATTTGGCTCCATTTTCGCCCGGAGTCTCATAGATCAAATGCATATCGGCAGGTTCCGCATTCGTATGCGATGCATATCGCTCGAAATTTGCACGGAGAATGATGATTTACAGCGGCAGAATGCTTTTATCTATCGCTCAACCACATCAACCCTTCGTTTCCACACACATATTCCATTATTAAATCTTCTTGTCCCCTTTATCTGCCTTTACATTTTTATCTATATTTTTTAATTACGCTAATATATACAAGAATGATTATATTAAAACTACTTTTTGGCTTCTGGATTTCTATTTTTGAGTCTTGCATTTTGCTAGTACAGATGGCAAGTTTTGTCTAATTTTCATGTATATTTTAATACGGTGATCATTAAACCATATGGCCTGGTCTGTCTGTGGGATTATTTATGATATTGGTCCCGTAAATTTTCTAAATAATCAAATTCGAAACCATAGACTCTAGTGGCAGATGTGTGTTTTAAATCTTCCTTAGAGTCTTCCCTTGCATTTTTTTTAAAATTTGCCTCTTAACGCAATTCTTATGATATGACCCTTATTGATAATGTAAAAGTTTGATTATAAGAAACTTCTAAAGCCATTTTAAACAATAAATTACTTAATAAATTCTCTTTTGAACAAGGTTTAAGAATTTTATGTGTCTGAAAGTCGTTCAAATGTCATTAAATCTTCATTTGATTCTCATCACATTCGAGAAATACAAAATGTCCATGATTTATTCATTGGATCAAGATATGTTTTAAATAATACAAAACAAGAGATAGGACAAAGAGTCTGACTGAATTTTAGTTAGCACTTCAAAGAATTTTATATTAAAACATTTCAACATAAGCACCATTAGTTTTTCGGAGAATATATAGTATATTCTCGATTTCCATTCAGAGGTTATTAAGCATTTGCGCAGTTACCGTAGCTATTTCTGTGGTGATTTGATTTTTTAATTCTTCGATGCTGAGAATCTCTGCAGCATGAAGTCGATTGCTCAGGTGTCTCCCGAAAAAGAAGCTGAGTGGTGTGACTTTCGGAAAACGCAGTGGCCATGAAATTGGTCCACCTCTACCAACCCAACGATCTGGAAATCTTTCATCAAGGAATACTTACATATTGTTTTACATGTGTAATATTTATTACATGTGTAATATTTCATCAAGGAATACTTACATATTGTTTTACATGTTTTACATGTGTAATATTGTTTTACATGTGTAACTCAATGACGGGTTCCATCCTGTTGGAAAAAGCCGTTTGGCTGCATTTCTTGTAATTGTGGAACTGAAAATAATCTCTATCGAAGTAATTATCCGAATTAATTGATGACTTCGAGAAAAGAAGGGACTAATCACTTTGTTCTGAATCACTGTGTATCAAATATTAAGTTAAGGTCTGCCTCGCTCAATTTCCCTTACAAAATGCGGATTTTCTGGCACCTGCAGTTAAGTTGACTAACCTCTTCTCAAGTATGAAATGTTGCTTCATCACTGAATACAATTTTCTCAAGAAATTCGTTATTGCTGATACTCTCAAGAATGTCTACAAAAAATTCTTTATTAACAACCCGATCATTATTTTTCATTTGTTTTTTGCAATTTATACGAAGTCAGTTTCAATCGTTCATGAACAAATTTATGAATATTCAACCTGGGAATTCCTGTTTGCAGGCTGGCACGATGAATGGATTTACTGGCACTGAGCACATATAAATCTCGAATGGCGGAAGCATTTGTATTTCTGACGCTTGGCCAACCTGCACTTTCTTTATGGAAAATATGTCCGGTCTCTCGAAATTTTTTTAATCATCATTTAATCGATTGTTCCGTTGATGGAGGTCTATTAAATTCATGTCGGAGTTGCCTTAAAACTGTTTCGAAGGTTTCTTTTCCCATAAACAGAGAACAAACATCGCGTTTTCAATATATGACTCTATATTGTCTGTAAACAGACAAATTTCCTGTTGCCATTCCCAAAAATTAGAGTAAACAAAATCCCTTGAACTAAAGATTATATCGATATAAATTATTTTCTGTTACTTCGTAAAATTAAGTTTCAATTAAATTTTATTATTCGGTCAATAAATTATAGGCACCCTCTATATATCGAATATATATACATGGGTAACAATACCTTTCCGAATAAGAGCTTTCAAAATGTTGACTTTTATCCTATGTGTATGCGCTGGTATGATAAGCATTTAATATGCAACTAAAGAATTTCTTTTCCTTTAAATAATTTGAATAATTGTCTTAAGAGAGACAAAAATAATTTACTTATATATAACTATGCATTTTTAACTTTATATGTTATGCTCCTATTTTATAACACATTATAGTTAATATTTGATAATTAATATAATAGCAACTTAAGTATTATTGATGGTAATAGGTCATATATTGCAATGCCAACTAATCTGTCGAATTGTGTGTATATTTAATTGTGTTTTTTACATAATATTGTTTGTACTTTTAATGTTTAGAATTTAAGCCTCAAAAGCACTGATCAATTTCATATTCCGTTGACTTCCGTTGAAATTTGCTTTAGAACAAATATAGTAAAATTTTTGTCAAGTTGTGCTTAAAAAAGCTAATCTTACATCAATATAATGAGTTTTAATATTTTGTTCAATAATCTTATGTTTTTCGGCGGGAAAAAATCAAAACCAACTACTGCATAATTTTATCTTTACAGCATTGAACCATTTCCTGTTTCTTAATATTGAAATTACGTTAAAAATATCGTATGTTTTTAAAATTAGTCAATAATATGATAATAAGCTGTAATAAAACGAAACATTTTAACTACAGTTTGGAAGTTATCAAATTGTTTGAAGCGATGACATTGACATATTTATTACTTTTTGCTACTCTCCACGTTTTCTATTGCATTTGTTTGATAATTTCAGTTCACCCTGAGATCCAAAATTCACTAGAATATGATACAAACAAGTACTACATAAGTTAGGAAAGCTAAGAGGTGATGAATGTCAATTTTTATTGGATTTAGGATATTTTACTTTCTAAGTTTATTTATTATTATAGTACTTTATAAAATTGATTATACTTTCTAAAAGAAATGTACGAGTCAGTTTCGCTAGCTTAAATTAAGTTCTTCAGCCTTTTTGTGTCGCATTGTAGAGACATTAGGATAGGCCAGAGAGATGACAAATTAGCAACCGCCTTCGCCGGGAATCGAACCACGGACCTATGAAATACCGGCCCAGAGTGCAGAACCACTACATCACGAAAGCACGCCAAGAAGGTGGGAGAAATACCTTATATATTCCCCCTTTTAAAGGACAACTGGGGTTTTTAGATGACCCAATTGCCAATTCCTGGGTGTGGAGAAACTTCATGCAACATCCTTTTAGTTCGGGCGCCACTGTAGAGACATTAGGATTTTTTTTTTTTTTGGAGGCCGAAGAGATGAAAAATTAGCAACCGCCTTTCCCGGGAATCGAAACCACGGACCTCTGGAATACCGGCCCAGAGTGCAGAACCACTACACCACGAAGGCACGCCAAGAAGGTGGGAGAAATACCTTATAGCATTATTGTAATTGCTGTCTAGCATTTGTTTTCCATAAGTGTCGATTAAGAAGAGTGCTCTAACTTGTTTAACTTTTGCTATTAATTTTCCATTATTAGTGTTCTTTTAAAATGGATGAGGGTGTATGACTTATGCATATAATTCTAGTTTTCTTCATTTAACTTTAAAAATGTTTATAGTTCTCTGTATTTTGGTTAAGTTACAATTCATATACGTAATTTATCATTCAAGCAAATATCGACATTCAACGGAACAGGAATTCTTTCATTTATTATCCATAATGCTTATCAAATTACCATTTCTCTGCAGCTAGCCGTACTGCTAGTTAATATTATGTAAGATTTTTATTTATATTTTAAATTAAAATAATGTACTGTTTGATTAACATCAATTTAGAAATAGCGATGTGGGCTTTATATGTGGATTTTATTTTTAAACAATATATATAATTGAAGCAATTTATGTTACATCTCATTCAAATGACCTATAATGCATCTGATAACTTGTATGTACACCATTATTTCTTTTGTACCATATTATAATTTATAAAAATCCTTCCAATTACATGTACAAAATAGTTTTTACTAATTTTGTCGCTTGGCAATAGAAATGGGAAGATAAATTTATGTATATCATTTTTGAGAGAAAGGTTTAAAATAACTTCGCAGATCAAAAGTGTATATGAATAGACAAGCAATATATATTCCAAAGAAGTAAGTTACTCTTTTTATCTTCGGGTCGCTTTGCTTCTACATTGTATGTTACAGTTGAAAAAAAAAATCTTAATGTGCAGATAATTTTTTCACTTATTTCCTTATACCGAAGAACGGTCTTTTCTGAATTATATTATTGCATTCAGTTTTCCATCTAAGGGTACCACTTTTATTATACTTAAATGTAAATTCATATATACCTGATGGTGGCTGAGGAGTATAGGCAGGAGCTTGTTGCCGAGGTGTGTACTGAGGTGGTGGTTGGGTAGAAGACATCTGTTGCTGAGGTGGAAATGGAGTTGAATGCATCTGCTGCTGAGGTGGCTGAGATGGATAATTTGGAGCAGTGGCCTGGACATGTTGCGGAGGAACAGGAGGCCTTGGAATCTTTTATTACAAGAAGCAGAATGGAAAATAAAACAGTTTTTACTTTTCATTTCAATTGCTTTTCCGTAAAAAAGGAAAATAATATTAGAATATGGCGCAAAATAATAATAATAATAATAATTACTTACTGAGCCTGCGATGGCAGCCATCCAACTCCTGTAAGAAGAGGTTTTTCTTTAAGTTTAAATGAAAAAGGAAAACGTATTATTTAGATATTACTAAGAAGACAATGAATTTTTAGTTCAGCATTCGTGGAAAGTAATAGTTTTGTGACTATATACCGGGTGTTCGAAAAGTTGGCTACAGACTTTATTTTCTTAAATAGTGATTATAAATATGTAATTACAATTATTACGGTTCTTAACATAAGGTACGAAAATAGTTTTTAATCTTACGGGTTAGAAGATTTTGTAAACCTAAGAGTCTAATTTTTAATATAATTAAGTAAACTTTTAACATCAGGCAATATTTCGAGTTCCTCCTTAAATTATTTTACTTTTCAACAAATTTGTTTGTAACCTATTATTACAAAAGCTTTGAAATCTAAACGCTGATATCGGATTCCTTGAAAAACAAATACAATTTGTCACAATTAAAATTTTCATTCGCAACACGGTTTTTATCGATGTTGTTAGTTCTTTTAATATTATTTTACTTTAAAAGAAAATTTTCATGAAAATATTTTTAAGGGATTAACATAAGAGAAAATATACTATAAAATTTTTTACGAACAGCAATTTATTCTTTATTTTTTCCTGACTAAATTTACTTTTCAGCCCTTTTATTTGTAACATTAGGTACCATGGTTGTAATTTGTAACATTAAGTACCATGTACTCCGATCAACTTAGTGTTGTAGCTTCGCGTAAAAATGCAACGCAGCTATAAACCTTTTTCGTATTATTTTAAGCTTAATATCCACAAGGTGTAAGGAATTAAGCTTAATATCCACAAGATGTAAGGTATTAATTTTTGTGTAAACATCTATCTTTTGAGTTGTCTTGTGTCCATAGAAAGCATTAAGTGTGGGCAATAACTCGCCAAAACGTAGAGGTAATTTCTGATTAACAGTAGTTAATTAAATATCTAGATAGATTTAATTGCTATTTATTTACAACCAATTTATTATAACACGTTCAGATATACAGTACTGGTAATTGGTATATTGAATAGATGATGCTTTATAACATTTGTATTTCTTTGAAACAAGGACATCCGCTTAGGACATCCGGAAATTTTTTCTGAATATGGAGAAAAATATGAGCCAGTTTAATGTAGCAAATGTTATATAGGAAAGACGTTTTTGTAGGTTAATGGTAGTATGTTTTTTTCTCTGAAAGTTTTAAGAAAAGTTGCTCCGAACAAAATTTGTATCTTGATAAACCATCATTTATTTTATGCGTTCGATGCCAATATTTTATATTTTGAACGATACTGAAAAGTAAAATATATTAGATAAGAAAACACAATTTTCAATATTTTATTTTTTACATTTCTTCCTTAAAATTATTTTTTATGAACAAATTTTCTTTCAAAATACGAAAGAAAAAGAATTAATAGCACCCATCAAAGAAGACACTGCAGCAGGTAAATTTTGTTGATTCTGCAGACTTTAGGAGCTTTATTCCATATCCCCAGGTGAATGATGCTGGTTGAAGAGACAGAAGTTCGAATTGTATGAATGTTGCTTAGAATTTTATCTCCAATTTTTCATGCTTGTTTTTGAAAGGGAAACTCTCTCTCTCTGTTAACATACATACCTTTCGTACACAGCTTTCGTAAATATCCGTATTAGTGCTTCTAAAGTCAAACTCATTTACGGCTTTTAATGAATTCTATAACAACTATCGCAGTAATTAAAACATGGTTAAAAGAAATTGTGATCTATACAAACTGGTAAATATTATTAACTTGCTTTCAGTGTTTCTTGAAAATATTTGTTAATTTAAGTCTAATTTGAATGGGTTTAGAGTACACATATTAATTTAACAGAATAACAATAATAGTTTGATTTATGTTATTAAAGGTCTGTTTTAATGCCTTTCAGCTAACAATATTTTTTTTCTTTTTGATGATATTTGAGGATGTGAGTATTAGACGTAATTTACAGTTTTGCATCATCGGAGAAAAATAGTGAGCTGGAAGTTTTTATCGTTTTTTTCTGTTGAAAATGTATTGAAAAAGCTTATAACAGTAATTTCTCTGTTAAATTTGATATATAGCATTTTTATATCTGATACTAACAATTTATATTTGAAACCAATTTATCCTACAAAACTGAGTTTTTGTTTCCAGATAATTTTTATTAATATATGCTGCATAATAGGCCATATTCTGTTGCAACTTACGCTACAGAATCATAATTAAAAATGCCAGAATTTATGAAAAAGAAATCAGTTTTACTAATGATACTTAGGATGATGATAAAAATCAGTTTTACTTTCCAATCGCGGTCTTAGGTATTTGTGAAATATAGAAACTCATTTTTGCAAAGTTTCTTTAAAATAATTACTGTGTGAATACATGATAAGACATTAATTAAATTGATAGATAATGTAAAAATACCAACACGTATTAGGATTTTATTTATTGAGTTTCTTTTATGTTTGTATCATATTGAATAATTTTATCGTTTTTTTATAAATGGTAGGATAAAAAAAAATGAGTTACGGGTATATAAGTATTGAAGTCTTCTGCTAAGGCATAACTTCTGCTAAATTCTACAATAATACAATTTTAAAGTTTATTTCGAATTTTTGAGCAGCTGCATATAAAATTCAGGACTATTTATCAGTGAAATAATAATTATGAAATACCTCTTATAAATAATCAGAATCTGATGCTTCATTTACAAAACATTGCCATGGTAAATGAATTTACGAAATTCATTTACAAAGAGAACTGTGTGTACACATTTCAGATTTTAAAAAGATTCCCTCTTAATGGTATGGAAAATGTTTTGCTTTATAAATAAAATGGGGAAGGATAATCAAAAAAGGTGTATCTTACGCCACTTCTTCTTCGTTAGGACAGAGGAACCAATATACGATGTCCTTCCCACGTACCCCGACTGCTAGGAGCTCTTTGATTTCGTAGTTATCGGGCAATGAAGGCCTGTCTGGCACTGCGGACGTGTATGGTCCAAAAGCTATCAGTTCTGGGGCATCCTTTAGCACTACACCTCCTTCCTGTTCCTGACGAGATTTGTCTCTGTACCATAAGAGACTGCTGTCATTGTATAATACGCTATGCACATCGCGCCAGTTGCTGCCAAAAAAGCGTCCTTTAAGAAAGAAAAAAAATAGTTAACTAAATAGTAAATAATTATATAAATAAATGGAATAAAATGAATTTAGTGTAAATTCCTCTTTACTTAAATTTTCAAATCTTTAATATTTTTTTCTTGTTCTTTATTCAAAATGTCTTGCAAAATTACCGAAAATTGATAGTTCCGAAGAAAGTTCAGAGTAGAAGTTCGGATGAAGTTTTCGAAATTTCCACTGAGTATATTAAATAATTGTTTTTTGCGTAAGAATATAATATGTTTGTTAATTTAGAATTTATGTTTTCGAGCTGTAAGTTTGAATATCTTTTAATTATAATATAAAAAAATCAATGTTTCAGAATAAAAACTGAGTTATTAATGAAGTTTGAGAATGAAAACTCATGGGTGATGATACTTTGCAGTTGTGTTTCTTTCTTCGTTTACTTCGAAATGAGACATGCACATTTGTTTTACAGAAAATGGTTATCATTTGAAATTATTCAATACTTTTAAAATAATTATCTTTTTGATTTCTTTGACTGAAAACTGGAAAACTTTCTTTCAAAGGTATATTAATTATTATTTTCACTCTAAAATAATTATCGTCGTGATTTCTTTGGAGAAAAAAATTATCTTTTAGTAGAATATTATAGTTTATTATTTTAAAAAAGAAACTTCAAGGGTATTTTCTGCCACCCGATTTAACTCATAACGATGGAAACAACATCTGAAAAAAAAATCGCTATGCTTAATTGCCCCTCCCCCTGTCGTTTCCGTTTAGTTGTTTAGATATAACTTTAAACAATTATTATGTTTTTAAACAAGATCCAATTAAAAATTTTATTTTCTCAGAATTTTTTTAAAATTTTAGAGGTAGTCGCTATAAGAAGTTCTATTCTATTTATTTGTCAAATATATATTTCGATGTTGCAATTGTTTCCAATTAACGCAGTTTAGATTTTAATGTTCTGGAAGAAACATGATTAATTTTATTATGGTGAAAATCTAGCTAGAAATTGAAATTTCGCTCAATTTCAATTTTTTATCAGAAAACATGTTTAATTTTTCAAGGATTTCGCATATGAAGTAGTATACAGTAGTTCATACAGTAATTATTACAGTATTATACAGTAGTTCATACAGTAATTATTACAGTATTATACAGTAGTTCATACAGTAGTAGTTCATACAGTAGTTCATTAAATAATTTGTTATTAGATACTTAGTCTTAGACAATATTTCTTTCCATAGTTGAGTATTCCTTCGCGTTCTACAATGTTTACATATTATTATATTTTCAAAAGATAATCCATTTAAAATTCTTCAGCTGATTTCATTCACTGTCTGTTTTACAAACTCGAAACGCATCTAGAATAAAAACTCAGAAATGTTTTCACAAATCATTGTTTTTTGTGGTCATGAGTTCCTAGAAACACATATATGAAAACACAATAATTTAGTATTTAATTATTCAATACATTTCTGATCTCACACGAATGAACATTTGGAGCAGCACTAGATAACTACATGAATCGGAATAATTAGAGAGTTTGAGTATATTTTCTGAATGTAGGACATTCTTTGGAACAAATCCTGAAACGAGACAATACATTGAAATGTAGGCTTCTCCTGCACAATCCGGTGACATCTGATATCTTTATTCTAGAGCCTTTTATTATTATTCATTTCACTTTCACTCAAGAAGGAAGAAATATAAGGAAAAAATACGCCTGAGCCGGATGTGGAGACATTTCTTCAGAGTTAGCTGTCCTGTCGCCATTTTTTTTTCTCAATCACTATGTACAATGTTCCCAGATGTGTCAATCCCAAATTCACTAAAATATTCCATGTTACTTATTCCTTCATACTTAGGGTTTATCACGATCGGATTTTTTCACTTCATTTTGTAGTCATATTGCTCTAAATGTAACTACTTCTGTGATACTTTACATATTATTTCATGTGTATTTCCTTTGATTATATTTGTTATTATTGTATTTAGAAAGTGAAGTCTCGTTTTGAAATTCTCGTCAAATGTGATACGTACCTGCTATTATAACTCTTCACTTTTTTATGAAAAATAGGAGATTACTCATTAGCATTCTTGGTTAGTTTTGATCAGCTGTTTTAATTGTAAAACAAATCATATTATATTTACGGTTCTTGGATTAGAGCTACTCACAGACTGTCTTTATAATGACAACTTTTGTATTCTAATCATTATAGTATTATATGTTTTTGGTGAATTAAAATATCGCACGAAAATTAAATTTTTCTTTAAAATTTTTATTTTTTCTCTGAAGGATGAGATAAATTTCGCCATATCTTGGGTTTGCCATTTTATTTTAAATACTGTTGAACTGAAGTGAACTTTCTATAATTTGTTTTTAAGTTTTTTTAATAATCCACTTAAAATGTGCTGTTATTCTCTTTCTGGAGGATGCATTGATGACTTCATGTATAAGCTATCTAATTGTTATAGTCTTGCTTTCAAAAGATTCAAAAAGTAGGAAAACATTTTGTACTTACTTTTATACCACAACATTGGCCCACTTTTCAGTTCCAAAGCCATTTCTGAAAGGAAGGGAAAGATGATTATTTTTCATGCACGTATGAAAATAAAAAGAAAAATAGTAAGTTATTGATCTAATAAGCAGACATAGTTGATCTAATAAGCAGTTTAAGTACTTCAGAGCTGTTCAGATATCAGAAAAAAGACTGCAAATAATAGAAAATTTATGTATAAAAATAATTATTCATATAGAAGATTTATAAAGGCATTCTTTATAATTTCTTATAATTCAATTTTATTACTCTATTTGGCAGCAATCTGCAGTAACAGAATGATATCACTTGAAATATTCATTGTATGAATTGTTTAAGTAAAGTATGTCTAAAAGCTGTCTAAAAATATTCAGAAGCTTAAAATTGAGAACTTAAAATGTATGTGAATTATTTTCATAGTTTATATTTGGTAGATTAATACCAATAATTATCAATAAACTGTTTTCTAATTTTTAATAAATTATCTGAATTAATAAATTTTGCTTCAAACTTAGAATTCCGTTTTCTAACTTTAAGGCATTAGTTAAAATAATTAATTATTTTATGTTAATTCTTTTTTCTCCTTTTTATTTTTCGTCACACTTCAACAGAAATCAGATTAGGTAGATAAAAAAGCCAATCTAGTTATTATTTAGTTAACTTGTATTGACAACGAGTATCTAACGCTTACTAGCAGCTGACAGAGTCCTGCAGCCGCGAACTCAGTTAGTTGGTGCGCTGGAATGAATACTTATTTTTATAAATGTGAGTTTACTTGCTTGTTTAAAAATTTGTTAAAAGTTAGGTTTGATGTACAAAGTCAGCTATATAGTGCTAGAAATTCTAGTATCGTTTATTTTGCTTAAATTATTTAAGTAAATTAAGTTTTATAGTTAGTTTAGCTTTTCGCAAGTAAAAATGGATAAGAATTCGTAGTCTTTCAGTTTTGCAATTCTACAAATAGTGTATTAAATTTTAAAGTTTTGTTTTATCCCTGGTTAATTATTGGGTTATAACCGGACAATTAGACGTGATGAAAATAATTCATTAGTGTGATAAGATTTAAAGGAGTTGTCAAGGAGTTAGTTTATGTAAATCTCATAAATTAATAATCGTAACGTTGTAATCTTTTGCTGATATTATAAGATGTTCTAAAGCATAAAATTTTCAAAAATCTCACTTTTTCCCTCCTTTTTGCATGTCTTCGTTGTGTAACGGTTAGCACACTTGGCGCGTATTCGAGAGGTCCAGGTTCGAGTTTCGGGTAGGGCATTCCTAAGTTTTCATGTACTTCTACTTCAAATATACCTATTGTCTCTACAAATTGACAAGGATTTCTTTCTGAGGTGCATGAAATTCAATATAGAGTTACATTCTGACAAATTTACTTGATACTTTTGTAAGATATGATTGACTGACGGAAAAAAACTTTTTTGAATGTACTACTATAATATATCCGTTATGAATATATGAAGTTTTAATATGCATTCATAATATTCCAAATTAAGCCCGCGTTATTGTATTGTTTAATATTTCTTATGAATGCAGTTGTTAGTTTATTTGCTTGCATTGAGTAATAAGATAAATTAAAAGACCTAATACTTTTATCAATTACTGATTCTATTTTTGCACTGGTCCTTTTCTTTATTTTTTAATAAATAATGATATAATATCTAAAAAAACAAGCTTCCATTAGTTTCCTTTTCTCACGACATTTATGATACAACATATAAAGGAATCTTGTGATTTTTATATGAAAACGTACGTAATGTTTAGGCAAAGAACCATAGAAAATCGCTTACTATAATTTATACATCTTATTTACTTAGAAATCCCTGTGAGTGCTGCCTAATTATGGTCGAAACACTTCGTTCATGCTTCTATTTCCAGGGACCGAGCTGGCTCATACAGCTTTTGTTATTTTCCTTGTAAAAATCCTCCACGATGGTGTTTATTCCGAAGCAGATAATCCTTACTTGGTGTGCCATGTTTGATTAATCTAGTTTGTTGCGAACATTAACTAAAATATGCACATTGAATAATCCGCTATGGAAAATCATGATTCAGTAAGCAGGAGATAATAAAATTAATAATAATAACTTGTGAAATCTGATTTTTTTTTTATTGTTAATTTTTAAGGTTTGAAGTATAAAATACTTATTAAAGTATTTTAGCACACAGTTTTTTTTTTTTTTCCTTTATTAACACCTTAAACTTCGATACATTTAAAAACATACTTCATCTATGAGAGTGGTAAAAGCTATAATAGCTTTCTATGTATACAGATCTATATTTCGTATTAGGAATAAATCTTTTACTTTCCGTAAATATTTTATTAGAATGCTTTCTATTCTTCTCGGCAGATTCGAAAGTAAAATAATACTAATAAGGGGTTGTGAGCGCTGGTAAAACGTGAACTACATTTCAGTTTTCTGTAGTCTTGAAATTAGTTTATGTTGAGATAAAAATAGCACTGAGAGGGGCATAAACCAAATTTTTAATTTTGAAAATTTGAGCTTTTAATAATTTCTTTCGTAATATGTAGTATAAGGTAAGAATTTAAATTTATTGGTCATGAAATTTAATGAGCTTTTCTGCTGAAGCTAAATAGCAACAGAAAAACTAGTTTTACAGGTAAAGTGCAACAAATTTTATAATAAAAGAAGCGACCACTAGTGAAAAGTATTACCTGCTATTAACCCTTTGCACGCCAAATTTAATTTCAGTTGGAATTTTATACATTTTTATCTGCTGCCTATTTGGAAGAAATTTATAGTTATTAAGAAATAGGGAAATACAGTACTAAACTATGCAATTATGTTGAAAGTTTCATGAAGCGTCGAAATGTGTTGTTACTTATGCTCATTTGTCTGACAGTAACATCAGCCCAAGCCCACGAAGTTCCTCGGGGCAAGAAAAGCGCAAGATACACCTCTCGTCGGCAACCTTATAGGTGACAGTGGGATTTTGCTCAGTTCCACCCCCCCCCCCAGTTTTGAAAGAGAGCACCCCGAGGGTCTCCCACCCCTCTTCCCTTACACCAAACTACACGAGAGGACTTTCGGCTCGCCGCATATTTAGTCTCGCCATGCCGCATCGATACTATACATTTAAAAACAACCATGCCTTCTCCGGAATTCGCGCCCAGGCACTTCGGCACGGCAGTCAGCGACGCTAACCACTATATCGGTTGGGTGGCGCGTCGAAATGTTAAGGTACTGAGATAATCGTATGAAGATATACAACATGTTACCGAATTAGTAAAGCGAAAAGGAGAAGCGCAAAAAAGCAATGTCGATTATTGTACATTATGATTTCACTATGCATATGAATATAATAATTTTACAATGCTTACTGTATTAATTTAGAAATCAAACAACAAAAATTAGCGTTATATTTTCAAACTTTTACGGGACTAGTTTCGATGGTTCGGTAAAACCATCGAAACTAGCCCTGTGAAAGTTTGAAAATATAACGCTAATTTTTGTTGTTTGATTTCTAAATTAATACTTGTTCGGCGTGTTGTTGTATCTTAATGCTTACTGTAGATAAGCTATAAAGCTATATATCCCTTTTTACCTCCTCCTACGAAATAAAGGTAATATTGTAATCGCAAAAACGTTCGGATATCATATTTTAAAAAAAATATCCATTTTGACCTCTCCCGAATCCATCCCGAGCGATTTTTTTTGTGTGATTTATGTACGTAACGACAGGAATATATATATATATATATATATATATATGTAATACACCTACCCTCTAACCCGGCCCAGCTCAGTAAGCTCTGTATTTTCATTCTTATATGTTGGTAAATTGCGCATTTTTTGCTTTTAAAGTGATTGAATTATGTTTTTATTTATGTTCCTATTAAATTTTTTATGCCTTCAGTTAATCTGCATGCAATAATTGTAGAATTATCAGCAACTTAAAAGTGTAAGAAGAGCTAAACCTAAGGAAGCGAAATTTGTTTACATATTAAACTCTTAGCAGTACAGTGAATTAAGTCAGTTGGTGCTACAGTTTCAATGAATTTCTGCTCACTGAGACCAAAAGTTAACTTTAAATTTTAACTTACTAACAATTCTGTCTTTCTGCCGTTGACCAAATTGCTTGTTCTCGCGTAGAAACTCTTCTTTTAACTGCAGAAAAATTGTTTACTCTTTTTAACTGTTTTGAATTATACGCACTCCGTAACGTATAATCTTTTTAACTGTATTTAGTGTTTTAGGTTTTTTTTTTTTTTTTTTTTTTTTTTTTTTTTTTTTTTTTTTTTTTTTTTTTTTTTGTATTTTACGGTTTTTGATTAAGATGTTCTGAGATCTGAGATTTTATGAATTTTTGCCTTGCCGCGGAGTGCGTACTGGCTGAATAAGAAATACATATCTAATTGGAATTCGAGGAAATAAGTTTGAATGAAGTGCAGAAAAAAAAATGTGTATAATTAAATGGCGTCCACATCAGATTTCGTATTACGTACATATCTGTTACAGTATTAGATTTAAAATTTGGTTGAAGAATTTTTTTTCTTTGCTCAGGACTCAGATTTTCAAGAGCTTAATATTTAGCCTACATGGCATTTGGTATGATTTTTCTGTGATTAACTATTTCTGCATTTTTATTTAAAATTAAAGCAATGCTACACTTCCTTTGAGTTAAAATCGTTTTTGTTAATATACTTGATTCCAGCCTAATAGTACTGTAAAGTTTGAAATACTGTAAGAATAGATCCGTATATTAAATATATGAAATTTATCGAACTACTTACTACATAATCTATGAGCTCCTTCTGGGGCAAAATTTAAAAATAAAATTGAATAATTAGTTTTACGAGATTTATTATAATATTAGTTGCGGATTCAACAATAATCCCAAAACACTTAGGGCTGTATTGTTACTTATTTGCTCTAATTTTTGCATAGCAATAACAAAGATATTTGCCTACACTATTCATGTTGCTCAACTGTTTGATGTTTAAAGTTAATACGATTAGCTTTAAATGCTAAATTTATCATGTAGAGTTTGTGACA